CCACATAATGTAAGTTTTCAATTTCCACGGACTATCAAGCAGTGGAAATAGACAAACTTTGGCCGCTATTTTCACGCTAATTCTACCTTTGAAACTAGGCGACCTCCACCTTCTTCAGCCTCAAATATCTAGACTTCTATTCAAGAGAGGGGGGCGTTTTTTCACCGATAGTAAGACAACTGAACAAGCTTTAAGGGGGGGGGCTACACCTGAAGGCCAGCTCGCTTATTACAGGACCGAATTTTACCAAATTTCACACATATAACAAGCATAGTAAAGAGTCTTAAAAACCGAAATCAAATTCGAGAAAAAGTTTCGTTTCCATGGATACGGCGGCCATATTAGATTTTGTTAACATGTCTTACGTAATGAAAACCGCACTTTCTGCCAATGGCAATTGATTGTTTTGTTGTTGTTTTTTGCATGCATATTAACAAACATTAGATCTAAGAATTTGTCTGTTGTTGTTTTTTTCTTAAACAAATTTTTAAAAATTTAATGAATTCAAGTTTGCAAAAAATCCGTGAAAATTCACACTCAAGACACCACCAACAAAAAACTATTATAAAAATATCAAAACTTCAACAAACAGATTTTTAGTATTACATCTTCTCTTCATTCTGTGAAAATTTCGTGAAGATTGGATGAAAAATGGTGGAGTTATTCAAAAAAATACAAAGAAAAGTCGCGTTTTGAGAAAACGGCCGGTAAAGAAAAATAAAATATTGACTTTATGAAGAAATGGTGGTGATTAAAAAAAAGAAGATAAACATGCCCGGTATGGGGGGAAAATGCGGTTTTGGGGGGTTCTTATGTGATGAAATAGTTGTAGGAGAGGCTGAGGAAGCTAAAAATGCTTACAACTCAAATTCCATAATTTTGAGCCGAATCGGGGCTTTGGGGGTAGTCTTAGGAAGGACTGAGCAAGATGAATTTTAAGAAGAAAAACCTTTCCTATCTGAGGTCCCAATCGAAAGTAACCGCATTGTTGTTGTTTTTGTTGTTGTTGTTGTTGGTTTGTATTTTGTTTGTAATTTGTTTGTTTTTTTGTTGTTGTTGCTGATTTTGACAAGGGTGACAATAAAACGAAATGTATCAGACGAGGAAGACCGAGTGCCATGTTAAAACAAACACATGGGTCGCCACCGCTCGTTTATGTTGACGTCCTTTGTTACTTTGTTGCAGACTGGGTAAACAGTGACCACTCATCTCACTTAAGATTTGTGTATGAGTTCTAGGCGGGGCTTATGGGTTATGAGGGATCACACGCTTACCTCAACAGCAGCTGAAAATTGGTAGCTATTGGTCAACAGTATGGGAGGGACCTACGCAACATGATCGGTTGGAGGGACTATCTAACAACAACGACAGGGGATTGAATTATGACGGCACGCCCACAACGCCAGGGGCCAATGCTTTAATTATGACAAAACGTAATGCAGTCACTAAGGTGGCCGTCTAAGACAGATGTTATTGCTTCGTGTGATAGGGGTTGTGTGTTAAATTATGGTGGCCGCGGCCGCGTTGGACAGGTGCCCGTTTTACACAGTTAAATTATATAGAAAAAACGCTAGGGGGAAATGGAAAGTGGCCGTTTGTACAGGTGGCCGTCTTAGAAAGGTGGCCGTCAAGGCAGGTTTGACTTATACTCATGAGCACAGTTTTGCACGAATTTTCCACAGCAGCACGTCTTTCTATAAGTGGAATGTTGAGCTCATCTGAGTATCTCAAGGAACAGTCTTCTCCTGTGCTTTTTTGCAGACATTCCACATATGGTTTAGCTCTGTGAAGGCTATGAACGCTGCAATACTTTCCACATATGGTTTAGCTCTGTGAAGGCTATGAACGCTGCAATACTTTCCACATATGGTTTAGCTCTGTGAAGGCTATGAACGCTGCAATACT